GAAAAAACTGTGAAACAAAACATATGAAGACGATCATTTGATTCAAACGGTGAGCGAGTGAGCTGTTAGAGTGAGCCACTATAGTGGCGCGTCGTTCATAGAAAGTGCCATAAGGTTAATTTCGTGAAGGAGGAAGCTTCTTCGCATGTATAGGTACTTCTAAATATATTTTTTTTTGCACAAACTTTCTGAGGTCTGGAAAAGCCTCGGGAGGATTAGGATCTTCCAAAGATTCATCAAGTCAACGTCACTTGGAACAGGAGGGCAGTACATCAAATTTTGCTTTCAAAAAGCTAAGGGAAATCGATTCGTGACGATATACTAACTAAATTCTGGAAATTCGCCGAGTTAATTTCAACGATTTTACATTTTGTATCATTCTCTTCACTTTGTTATCAAAATACCTGGTCAAATTCGAAATCGACATCCAAGCTGTCGAACTGGGAATGGCCAGACAAGGACCTCGGTGGCAAAGATTGGCGAATTATTTTTCGCAAGTGAGTATCGGGTTTCGAATAATAATAATAATAATAAATATTCGCACACGGAAAACCACCGACTTTACTTTTGCATCGCTCGAATATTAATGTTACGCCCTTGTCCGCGAGCCCTTGGCATAATAACTTCGTATGGATCGGGGATTTATACATATGTACGTATCGCTCGGCAGATATTTTTCTATCTACGGGACGAAACTGTGGCTCACGTACGTATGTATATGTAACTCGTGTATGACTGGCGAACCGGTGCAGATGCGCAGGAAGTTTAGTTAACCGCTCTATCGGACATAAATTATGCGCGCCATTAGCGTTGGTAAGTACGTACACGACCGGATCTGCTGCTGATATCAATAGATAAAGCTAGCCGAGCTTTTTGCCCGTTTATTGTTATATTAGGTTGCCTGATAAATTATTAATTTCAGTTCCTCAATGGCAATATTCGGTGAAATGCTATGAAAACTGCCGATCGAAATGATACATAGAGGATTCGGAACTTTTCCTCATAAATAAATGTTCTTGAAAATAAAGATTTCACGCAGAATGGGATTAAAAATTTAAATTTGGAACTTTTGAACAGGCTCCGTTTGAAAGACATTGATCGTTGTTACGTCCTGATAAATAAATGTTCTTAAAAATAAAATTTTCAGGCAAAATAGGATTAAAAATTTAAATTCGGAACTTTTGAACTTATTACGTCCTGATAAATAAATGTTCTTAAAAATAAAGGTTTCAGACACAATGGGATTAAAAATTTAAATTCGGAACTTTTGAACAGGCTCCGTTTGAAAGAAATTGATCGTTGTTACGTTGCAAGTTCTGGTAAATAAATGTTCTTAAAAATAAAATTTTCAGGCAAAATAGGATTAAAAATTTAAATTCGGAACTTTTGAACAGGCTGCGTTTGAAAGACATTGATCGTTGCTACGTCCTGATAAATAAATGTTCTTAAAAATAAAATTTTCAGGCAAAATAGGATTAAAAATTTAAATTCGGAACTTTTGAACAGGCTGCGTTTGAAAGACATTGATCGTTGCTACGTCCTGATAAATAATTGTTCTTAAAAATAAAGGTTTCACGCAGAATGGGATTAAAAGTTTAAAAAGGTTATTTTCGATATTTGTAGCGAATACGCTGAATAGTGCTCGATTGTAAAAATAGAATTTTTAATCTGTTCCGTGAAAATACTGTTTTTGAAAAGTGTTCCTAACTTGTTTCTGTAGAAGCAGATATTTTTTTGTAGGAGATATAGTACAAATTTTTCAAAAGAAATAGCAAATTGTCCTTGGTTCGTTTAGTTGTGGATGATATTTTTTAAAAACAGATATTATGGAGAACTTATTCAACTGCAGTAAACAACATGAGAGCAATTAGCATGGATAAATATAATTTAAAATAAAAATGATCTCCGGTAATTGAAGATACTGCTCCTACAGATAATACATAATGGAAATGATCTACAACATAATACGTGTCATGTAAAATAATATCAATTGGATAATACAATATGTAGTAGAACAATCGTTTGTTTCTATGTAAATGATTTCCTTTATCTGATAAATATAAAGACACATATATATATTGAATTTTTTTTTTTTTTTTTT